CACAGCCAGGCACCCTACCAGAGCACCTATCCCTTCCCCCACACAGCCAGGCACCCAACAAAGGGCACCAATCCCTTCCCCCACACAAACTGTCTGCACCCTACCAGAGCACCTATCCCTTCCCCACACAGCCAGGCACCCAACAAAGGGCACCAATCCCTTCCCCCACACAAACTCTCTGCACCCTACCTGAGCACCTATCCCTTCCCCCACACAAACTGTCTGCACCCTACCAGAGCACCTATCCCCTCCCCACACAACCAGACACCCAACAAAGGGCACCTATCCCTTCCCCCACACAGCCAGGCACCCAACAAAGGGCACCAATCCCTTCCCCCACACAAACTCTCTGCACCCTACCTGAGCACCTATCCCTTCCCCCACACAAACTGTCTGCACCCTACCAGAGCACCTATCCCTTCCCCACACAGCCAGGCACCCAACAAGAGCACCTATCCCTTCCCCCACACAGCCAGACACCCTACAAGAGCACCTATCCCTTCCCCCACACAACCAGCCACCCTACAAGAGCACCTATCCCTTCCCCCACACAACCAGCCACCCTACAAGAGCACCTATCCCTTCCCCCACACAACCAGCCACCCTACAAGAGCACCTATCCCTTCCCCCACACAACCAGCCACCCTACAAGAGCACCTATCCCTTCCCCCACACAACCAGCCACCCTACAAGAGCACCTATCCCTTCCCCCACACAACCAGGCACCCAACAAGAGCACATATCCCTTCCCCCACACAGCCAGACACCCTACAAGAGCACCTATCCCTTCCCCCACACAACCAGCCACCCTACAAGAGCACCTATCCCTTCCCCCACACAACCAGACACCCAATAAGAATATCTATCCCTTCCCCCATACAGCCAGGCACCCTACAAGGGCACCAATCCCTTCCCCCACACAAACAGACACCCTACAAGGGCACCAATCCCTTCCCCCACACAGCCAGCACCCTACAACGGCACCAGTCCCTTCCCCCACACAAACAGACACCCTACCAGAGCACCTATCCCTTTCCCACACACAACCAGACACCCAATAAGAATATCTATCCCTTCCCCCACACAGCCAGGCAGCCTAAAAGAGCACCCATCCCTTCCCCCACACAAACAGACACCCTATAAGGGCACCAATCCCTTCCCCCCCCACAGCCAGCACCCTACCAGAGCACCTATCCCTTCCCCCACACAGCCAGCCCCCCACCCCAGTCACAGCCAGGCACCCTACAAGAGCACCTATCCCTTCCCCCACACAACCAAGCACCCTACAAGAGCACCTATCCCTTCCCCCACACAGCCAGGCACCCTACAAGAGCACCTATCCCTTCCCCCACACAACCAAGCACCCTACAAGAGCACCCATCCCTTCCCCCACACAAATAGAGACAAATTCATCTGTTATGCATTCCTTATAATCAGCAACGCACCTTGAGCACCGTTCTGTTATCAGACGATGGCGTTCGGCCCGACCACAAGGCGAATTTGCAGGGGTCCCCTTCAACGTGTTCCGTCACCCCCAACTCGGAGGTCTGGAGGAGAGATGATTCGTGTGAACGTACGGCAATTCTACAGAACGACACCCGCAGGCAACTTTCCCAGATCTCTATAACGCTGAACGTGACCCCACTGGGGAGATTTTATCTCATTTCCTGTTCTATCCCTCACCCACCTCACTGAAAAAGTGATTTGTTGCAGTCTGTGTCCCCACTGGAGAGATTTCCCCTTATTTCCTGCTCCAAACCTATTCCTCACCATCTGTGACATCACATGTATACAGATTTCTTTTGGCAAATATTTGTTTTTCAATCTGTTACAAAGTTCTTCCCTGGAGATCCTGCCAGTAACAGCACTTCCTGTTCCAGGTCGACAACGCCAAGTCCCAGCCTCCCAATTATCAGAAGCGTTGTCAGCCTGCCGTGCATGTTTTTATTCAGCTGTTTGTTGGGCTGCTTATCAAGTCTATTAGATTGGCAGCCCGAAGGTTAACTATGGGAGCTCCCATGGTGGGCTGACAACGCTGCTGCCAATCGCAATGCTGCGCCTTCGTGTTGTCAGCCTGCAACAGGAAGTCCTCTTTACTGGCAGGATGTAGGTGCTGTTTGGCTGAAAAATTTCCACCCAGTTCCTTTGATTTTGCAATGCAAGGGGTGACGGGTGGGAGCTGGCAGACAGGGCCCCCCAATGAACCGCATGACATTCACCCCGTGTGTAGCCAACGTTGGACAGGGGTAGACATGCGTAGACATGCGTCTCCGTTGAGTCGGAGATAAATAGGACGGATGTGTCATATACAAGTGAATGGCCCAAATATTAATACCTGGTAACATGAGGGGCGAAGTTGGGGTAAAGATCGGCCATGGGTTCGGTATTGGGG